ATGATGGTTATGATAAATCAAGCACAAAGGCCTCATCTCATTTACACTGGACAAAATGACTTGTCTCTACTAAAACACCTTTTTGTCTGCAACCTATTTCAATCGAATAAAGAATCTTTCCTGATAAATCAAGAAAACGAACAACATTTTATTAAAATGCTTTCGAGAAAACTAAAAGAAAATGCAGATCAAGACTACATAAACAAAAAGATGATGTTGATGTCAGCATAGGAGAAGAGCATCAGAGCACTATACATTTGTGAAAAAAGATTTACTATTTTTATTGATATAAATAAAAGAGCCAACATATCAGCCCATATAGTTCCGATTAGACCAATTTTGACAATCTACTCCTCAAAATGTCTAGGATATATAGAAAACAAAAATGTTCTATGAGAAAATGTTTGGCTTCTTCTGCCAACCATGCACGCACTTACATGTTGTGATACAATCTCTCGATTCTTTGGCGTTTGAAAAAGTAATGCATTAAAAATCTTCGAGAAAGTTGTCAATTTTAATCTAAATTTCAACTTTCAACTTGAGAAAGCTTGTGTTATTTCATACCAAAATAGAAAAAAATAGAGCAGAAGCTTTTTCTTTTCCTTATGGCGGATAACGACACGAAACCTCGGATACTCTGCGTCATCGACGAATTGTGAAAAAAGGTCATTTCATATCAATATATTACCACCTACATTCGCTGCAGCTACTATAGTAAATACCATAGTATCCCTTCTTATTTATAAGGCAATGGAATTGGTGAATAAAACAGAAGCTAGACTAGATCCCTTGGGGTTGGGAGTTGTACTTTGGTGGAAAACGGATCCAGTTAAAACTCATCTGCCCCCTGCGCCAGAAAAAAATGTTCTTAATATTGTAAATCGCTTTTTAATCGCGAGAACTTTATTTTTGCGTAATTACGCGAGATAGTGTGCTAGCTAAAATTTTATTCTCGCGTATATTAGTATTACTTAAGATAGTGTAGAGCAATAACTACAATTCGTCAAAATTTTGTCTCGCTTATTAAGTGTCAATGATTATCACGCGAAAATAAGGTAATCAACTGCAATTGTAAAGGAGATTGTACCTCTAGGATATGTACGAGCTCGTATTTGCCGCAAGCACGGGATCGACTGCATTGAGTCTGACACATCTGTATCATACCTGGTTCACCCCTACTAATGTTATTGTGATTTAAATTCAAGACACGTGGTTTAGGTTTACATATTCAAAGGTCATAGGGTAGATCTGGTTTTATAAATAAAATTGGCAGTGAACAGGAAATTGCTATAGTCTCGTTCTTCTGAAAACATGTCCTGCGAAAAATGTGTTTCCACACCTTTCTAAAAGACTTTCATGATTTTCAACAGAAATGGGTGCATGGCTTAAGGGGGGTACCAATTTATACATCTTATAGTTACTGCAAAAATTACAGCTCACTAGCGACCGATACGCTGGTAAAAAAAAGTGTAATATAATCTACAGTGACAAACCTTTATTTGCCTTATATTGCTATTGCTATTAATGCGCGCAAAGGATCTTACCAAGGGCAACTGACCAATTGTTGATTGAATACGTTTACGACAAATACATGTTTACAAGTTACTTCGAACACGTGGTTCAGGTCAACCAATGATCATGACAATGGAGTGCAAAATTTAAAAAAAAGTTCTTATGAACAAAATGCACACATTAGAAACTAAGAAAATATCACGGGTGTTTTTAATTCGTTGTTAAGGTAAGTCACTCCTGAAATTTGTTATATCAAGGATTTTTTGAGAAGTATATTTTGGATAAGTACTCATACAGTGTAACTCAAAATCGCAAAGAAAATAGGGGGTCAGTGTGCATCCTACTGATCTACGGTACATTTAAGTTGACCTTTTTGCACTTAAATTTCATCTCTTTGGTTAATTACTTTAACCCTTATTATATTTGATTAGATGTAAGCATGGTAATAAATTTAATCTAATTTTACGTAAAATAGTTCGAATAATATTTATCATTAAACAAATCTTGCAAATTAATGTGCGTAAATTATTGTGTGACCTTTTTGCACTAAAAAATAACATATTTGGGGTATTAAAAAACTTAATAGGCAATAAAAAATTTTCTTATATCAAACTTTTTACGACTTGAGTGCTGATCAGTCACAAGTATCGAGTAGTTTAAAATAATGAAAGAAAAAGGTGGGGTCAGTGATGTAAATTTTGAAATATTTGTCAAAATATGTGATTTTCAGGCAAAAAATGGTGTAAATTTGACCATGACTTCTTTAATGTATTTTCATTTTTTGGAAAAGTTTGTTGAGGGAAGGTGTAAAACTTGGTCTAAAAATATAAATTAAGACCTATATTAAATATTTTTAGCAATATCAAAACGGAAAATATTATCCGAGTAAAAGTATGCGAGGCTAAATTTCCATTACATTAAATTTTATAAATGTGCAGATTTGCAGAATTTTCTGCTAAATATCCTTCCACCAAAAGAAATAGTCCCTCATAAATCTTGCTTCTTTGTAGATTTTTGAGCAGTTTTTTCATTGAATGTTAAAAAATTTACATTGTTGAATTTAAATATGTTATAAAAATTGAATTTTAAAAAGTAGTTTTGAAGTAAAAGCTTCTGCGTGAACTTTTCTAAAAAGCTGACGAGTGACTTACCTTAACTAGAGAAAAATATGTTTAATAAAATGTATATATAATAGGTGTCAAGTTCATCTTACAGCAGCACTTTAAGGTTAAGGAAAACGAGCAGCGTCTCGTATGCATTCAAATGAACAAAACATTTTTTACATAACTATACTCTTGATCACGTGTGTTGGCCAGGGAATCCGCCTGGCAATAGTATCCACCGATAGTACAATAAAGGAATTCATCACGCGTAAAATTCCTGTAGTATTCGTATAGTAACCCATAATGCAATTCTCATTCATCTGATTTTGCAGTTAAAGTCACATTGGTGCCTCATTTGCTTAACTGACGCCAAAAAATATAGTCCTGGTTCCCATGCAAAAGATTTGTCCAAAAAGAAATTTTAATTCATGACAGCAGAAAGTTGTATCATAGAGAATACTTAAAAATAATTTAAACTTGAATGAATTCAAGAAAGATCGATTTAAGTACATTTCTACAGAATGACTATAGGGTGGTGAAACTAAAACGCAACATAACTTTTCTGTTTACCATGTCTCCACGTGCTAGTCACTTCCTAGCCACATTTCCGTGAATAATTTAAAGGCATCATTTCGTAAATTCTATGGTCGTTACAATGACGATGTCAGCAAATACAATTTATCAATGAGTCAAGTGATGACTGCCGTTTTTCATACTAATTGTTAGCCCATTATTTACCCATTGGATTAACGACGGATTTTTCCATTATTTCCTGATAATTTCAATGAGCACACGGCGGGTGATCGGTCGGCAGAGGATGCTTACTCCTCCATGGCACCTGCTCCACCTCTGATGCTTTGGAGATCCGTGTTTGCTATACTCGTCTTTTGTAGTGATTTATGATCTCTCTCAAATCGGATGTCAACTTCCTGTTTCTCTGTGCGTCTGTCCGTATTATAAATGAACAATTTTTTGTCGCAGTTTTCTCAGCAACTACTCATCGCAGACTCTTGAAATTTTAACACAATCTTCTTTATGGCATATCATAGGTAGGATTAATTTCTGTTCAAATGTGATGTCAACTTCTTGTTCATCTGTGCGTCTGTCCGTTTCATACATGTTTCACACATAGCAAAATTTCGTCACAGTTTTCTCAGCAACTACTCAATGTAGATGCTTGTAATGTTAATACAATCTTCTCTGAGGCATGCCATATGTAGGGATTGATTTCGGTTCAAATCTAATAACAACTTCCTGTTTATCCAAGCGTCTGTCCGTTCATTCATGTTTCACACATAACACATTTTTGTAACAGTTTTCAAAGCAAATACTCATCGCAGATGCTTGAAATTTTAAAACAATCTTCTCTGAAGCATACCATATGGTGGGATTTATTCTTCTTTCTCCCTGTTTTAGACGAATTTATCACATGTTTACACGCCCAACTTACAAAAGATTTATTTCTTTGACACAGATAATATTTAATAATTCACCGTTAATCCAATTCCATGTCATACTTATGGACAATGAGCTTAAATTATATCTGTGTATATTAATGTCTTATATATCAATTTTCAGTTTTATGGACATTGACAGGTATTTGCAATTAAAACGTTTTATCCAAGAAGTTGAGACTCTAAATTCTTCACCGTTTCGATGCCGGCGTGGCGCAGTTGTAAGAACGTAAAGACCGGTTCTTCGGATGAGATCGTATAGGTCCCGTGTCGCAGTAGTCGCTGGAATGTAAAAGATCCCTCCAAGCTTATTGGCCCTGAGTGCCGAGTAAAGGACAAAATTTGCAGCTCTCCAACGGCAAGTGGTGGTATCAATCAAAAACTTATGAAAATGTAGATGCTTTATTATTTTTAATTTGCAAAACATTAGAGCATAAAATTAATCAACAGCTATCCGACACAGATTTGCAAAATAAAATTGACGTAAAAATTTATAGATTCACGGTTTATCAATAACAGAGACTTTTCTTTAGAGTTATTTTAAAGACCACACATTTATCGTTTTCTTTCTATCAAGGGACTGCTAATTTAAATTAATCAGTAATAGGAACAGACTCAAATTCAAAGTCAAATAAAAGTACTTGGAGGTATATTCTTTCCATCGCCAAAAATACTGAATATCTTTTTATTATGATCATCAACAAACTGTATTGCACTTAAAGAGGGTCCCAGGTGGGATATTCCAACACATTTGAAATATTACAAGTTTTCTTTTTAACTGTCTTCTCTGAACAGTTTATTAAATCACTGATAACTTTTCATGCTATAAATATTTTGTCAGGTAAAATTGATTTCCGTATAGTTATTCGGCCATTTTGATCAATGAAAAACAAATAGATGAGTATTTTTGGTACAACTGAAACAGACCAATATTATGTTTGTGAAAACTAAATCATGTCCGAAAGATGTTAATGAATGGAAAACTCGTGAAAAGAACTTTAACTGTTCTTATCCAAAAGAAGTTTATCATTGTTTATCTGACGGATACGGAAGTTTGGGAGAAACATGCATCAAAGGGCTTGCAAGCTGGGTCGAGAAAGGTAAATTGTTTAAAACGAACATATGTTAAGAATAACTATGGAAAGCCGTAGGGTACCCCCACATTATTATTATTTTTTCCTATATAATTATACCAAAAATAATTATGTCATCCAAACTTGCTTTTTACAACATTATTATTATTTTCCTGCAACAATTATTATCTTGTCTGTTAAATGTGTGTACACACATTATTATTATTGTGTCCTACAATTATAATGATTCACTTTACAACAATAATCTTGCCAGTCTATGGAAAGCCGTAGGGTACCCCCACATTATTATTATTTTTTCCTATATAATCATACCAAAAATAATTATGTCATCCAAACTTGCTTTTTACAACATTATTATTATTTTCCTGAAACAATTATAATCTTGTCTGTTAAAAGTGTACACATTATTATTATTGTGTCCTACAATTATAATGATTCACTTTACAACAATAATCTTGCCAGTCAATATGTAGACACATTATTATAATTTTTCGCCTCATGATTATAATCTTGTCAGTCGATGTGTACACATTATTATTATTTTGTCCTACAATTATAATGATCCAAACTTTACAATAATAATCTTGCCAGTAAATGTGGACACATTATTATAATTTTTCGCCTCATGATTATAATCTTGTCAGTCGATGTTTAAAAACATTATTTTTATTTCACCTCAAAATTATAATAATTATTCTTACTTTTAACAATTATAATCATGTTTGCCCAAGCGAACACATTATTTTTATTTCGCTTCAATTTCATGCCAATTTTATTCCACATCGATCATACAATTATAATCTGTCTTACTCCAACAATAATAATCGCGACCAAAAAATTTGCAACATTATTATTATTTAGACGCTTGAAATCAAACGTTTCTGTGATTTTGATGTACTGAACAATTATAATCTTGTCAGATTTTCTTTGGGAAAGATTATCATTATTTGGACGCTTGAAAAAGTAAACGTTTGTCTGCCGAAGACAATCACGTGGTTTACGGCCATGTGCTTCCCTAGTATCTACAGTGCCGAGGACGGCGCCAGTGAAAGGCAGGCGGTTTGCCAGTAAGTAAAGATGATTTTGTTATATTAATGTACAAGGAAGTGAATTCCATTCATTCAATAAAGGAAATGTCTCAGAAATCAGCTGTCAGTATGCTGTTATTAAACGACAGCTTCGGAAGAACTAGTTCGAATTATCTCTGTACTTTTGTATAGGAGATTGAGATTGCATCAATGCATGCCATTGCATTGTGAATTTATGTTCCAAATCTAGAAAAGTGGCGTAAAGTTGAATGATATATCTTTACGAACAGTATATGCTTGTATTTTACAGATTAGCTTGAATTTTCTCTGCAGTAACTTGAGTAAGCCATTTACGTTGAATGTCAGTTGATTCTTACTGTTATTAGACTCTGATAAATGACTTTTGATGATTTCATATATTGATTTGTCTTGATTTCCTGATTTTATTAAGTTATCTATTATTGGACCAAAACTTTTCTCTTAATATGACTGCAAACTTCTATGTATGTTTGTTGTTTAACACAGGCACAGATAGACATTCTCCGGGGGGGGGGGCGTCCATGTAACATGTAAACTCGCCATAACTTCAAAAACCTATTTTGTGTTGGGGGGGGGGGGTAGTTGAAGACTTCTATCATTGGAATTTTCATATTTACATACCAATTTAACAAAAATTCGCATTTACCAGGGAGTTCTTCGTTTTCCGAGGGAGAGTCCAAGGTAACTTTTTTCTTGCTTTAGTATATATAGATTTGAAAACTTTGCAAATTCCATGGGGGGTCCTCCCTCCCCCCTCTAGATCCGTGCATGGTTTAACGTCCGTGTCGAGACATTTTCACTCATATGGAGACACCACCACTTATAAGTAGAGAGCTTCAAGTTTTGACTAATACTCGGCACTCAGGGCTATTGAACAGTGAGGGATCTTTTTTTTGCCAGCACCTATTGTGACATGGGACCTTGATTTATATGGTTTCATCCAAAAGACCTGTCTCCACATCCCAAAGTGGGATTTGAACCCAAAAGATAATGATCAACTCCTTTCTCTGCAACTCTAAGAGCAAAAGCTTTAACCACTGCTCCAAATGGGCGACCCTATGTTTGTTATCAAGAGCGATGTTATTGTTAAAATTTACTGGGTGTGTTCAATAAACTGCACAATAAATCACTTAGTATATAAACATAACCAGGAATAACTCATGTATTGGATTTGTTTTAGCTCACCTGCTCAATGATAAAAAAACAATTTTCAATATTCTGTTTTTCAAGCCACAGCTGCCATTAAAAGAGTCAATTGACAAATTCTTAATATGAAACATTTCAGAAAATATTGAAATTCTACATTTTTTGTTCAATCTTCAGTCACCATGAGAAATAGAAAATATGCTGTAGTTTTTAAAGAATTATTTGCACATGTACATTTAATTTTAAGAGCAACAAAGAGTCTTGATTTTTAGAGGCATGCAGGTTTTAAAGAAAGAAAACAGTGTTGTAAAGAACGAAAATGATTGCAGATGACACAGAGGTAAAAAGAACAAAAGTGGTTAGAAAGAATTAAGAAATAATATATTTATAACAGTGGCAGATTTATCCAGGGGGGTAGGGGGGTTTAAGAAAATGTAATGGATACTCAGAAAGTTTTACATTGAGATTTATATTTTTATTCATTCTGCAGAAATATATTGGTATGTTTAGAACAGTCATCTACTTTATAAATAATTATTTGCAATTTAGCTTACCTGAGTCTAATGCCCTGTTCACACAGAGAGTTTAATTCGAAATATTTACATCCACTGAATATTTTCTCCTTTCTTTCTTAAGAAACCCCATTGCGTTCATCACTGCATAAACTACAGTAGGCATGTCGCCTGTACAGATTTCTTAATCAGTGGCTGTTCCATCAACGAAACATATAAGAAATAGATAAGAAATAGATAAGATTCGCATCATTAATACAATAATTAATCTTTTTAATCCTACTTACGCGGGTTATGTATTTTTTCTGCAACAGCTGCTTCCTTTCATTCCAGTAATAACAAACAAAGAAAGCATTTTATTGTTTAAATAACAAACAAAGAAAGCATTTCATTGTTTAATAAAATGTAAGTTACTGTATATTAAATTTGAACAGCATTCACATGGAGAGTTTAATGCAAAAAAGTTTAATTTGAATTAATTAACTGCACATTAAATTACTTCGCATTAGCTCCGTGTGAACGCTAAGCGACGCTAATTCAAATTAAATTTTGACTCATGCGCAAGGCCTGAATTAAGGGGATGAAGGACCTTTAGCTGAAAAAATACCTGTCATTTAATTTTTTTCATATTTTGTATATATCTTATTTAGTATGTCCTACATACTATAAAGCAGACATATCAATAGGTTTCTAGACTTATTTCTGAGATATTGAGTGACAAATACCATACCCCACAGTGTCTGAGCGGAGTTTTTATTCACCGTGTTTCTGGGTCCATTACTCGGTCGATATTTGAAATTTTTTACCATAAATAAAAAATATACCAGCGGAAATGTGTCTTTTAAAATATTGTAGAGTATGAATAGGGTTAAAAATTCGAAAAAGCAAGATTCTTTTGTAACACCACATCTGGAGACGGAAATTTACGACTTTTTTAGGACAACTTAAACCATAAAAAATTAATTTGCAAAAAATCTTATCATTCAATATTTTAAAATTTACGTCGAAGTTCAAGGTCGTCATTGTATTGATTAACTGTAAAAATATTGATTGGTGAAGCTGAGCTCAATATTGCACGGGGCAAAGTTAAACGAGTCATGATCATGAGAAAAACGTGTCATGTTTACATTTCTCGAGTACGGGAAAACCCAACTATGACGTCACACATTCCTGAAATAAGCGAAATAAGACATACCCACAGAACTTTTCCGCCAACAACCATGTAAAAATATTTTTTGCGTTCTGAAATTTACAAAATACCCTACCTTGTACATATTATGGCCCATTTTTATTATTTCATACTTCCCGCTTTTACCGTGTATGATCTTGCTGAACTAAGAGATCCACTATGACGTCAAAGACGCACTGGACGCGCAGAGTAGGAAAACGGCAGAGTGGATTAATCTATTCCGTAATTTGATAATATTTGCAAAAAATTTTGAATGTTTTCAGATATTTTATACTAGATGGTAAACGCAAACAAACAGTCAAAAGAATTATACAAGTACTGTGGTTTCAATCTCGTTTTGTACATATTTTTCAGAGATTATGACGTAAATCAACTGAGTCACGTGACCATACATCCTTCATCCCCTTAAGGCATAGGCCCCATGTCAATAGTTAGATTTAGATATCAGTGCTAAGTTTTAAGGAAAAATATGTTAATCACTAAATTGTATAAAAAACACTATGATTTTTATGTCAATTGAATCTGCTCGGTACACATGATGTGAATAACAAATGACGTCATAATATCATTGCTGATCTCCCTAATGTAGAAATAAAATTTTGATTTGCATAAGTTTAATTTGCTCTAGCTGTTGTGTGAACACAATTAAATACGCATTATTTTACTTCTCATTAATTTACTGTGAATTAAACTCTCCATGTGAAAAGGGCATAAGGCTCAAGTAAACTTTTCCTACTAAGAAGTGTCTGGCATCTGTTTATCATACATAATGATCCCCAGGTTAAGGATGGGGCCACAATGGAAATCAAAGTTTTACACAAAAATACAAAGGAAAGATCATTAGAAATCTTCTAAGGCCATGATTAGTCAAAGAAATAGAAAGCATCATCAGTTGGTATAGATTTAAGTTTGTTCAAATCATGCCCGCTTCCCCTCCCCTTAGGATTAGTTTGGGCCCAGTAGGAATTATTACTTTTCAATACTGAGAGCCAAAGAGCTAAGGTGAGCAATGTGACCAATGGGTCTTTATTTGACCTTTGTCATTTCATTGCAAAATATCCTAGTGTATGTTCATTTTGCGAGGGTTTTTTGTCGCCCCATACTTTGCCGTTATGAAATTGTCAAAAGAAGTCTAAATATTTTTTTTTAAATTCATGCAAGTTACAAAGGATGTGAGAAAATATGGAGGGTTTTTTTTTATAAAGGGAAACAACTCTTGCAAATGTACATTTTTTATTCATGTAAGAATTTTATGCCAAGTCTGTTCACACAAGAAAAACCCAGTTTGCTGTCACATTGGGAGCCCTCCACTTGTCATAAGTATCATGAAAAAACTGCTCCACCCTACCAAGTTTTCCCATGATTATGTGTGTCAATGATAATTATAAAGACTCTTGTGTTTTTAATGTTATTTTTCAGGGTTCAGGAACCATAAATTTTATGTTGGTGTTTGAACTTCACCCTGATAGACTTTGAGCACATCATAAGTTTTAGACCTATGGATGAAAATCTGGCAGTTGGATGATAAGGAAAACACAGCCGTGATAAATGTCAGAGAAGTCTCCTTAGAAAAGTGTGCCGGTCTGGAAAAAAAGTTGCAATGTGAATAACTTGGAAGAAAAAAGAGTCATGTTAAATTTCAGAGAATTCTTGATGAAAGATTGCATGTGTTGTTCCTGTTCCATGAACTTTGTCTTTTTAACATTATTTAACACTTCATTTGAAATGATGCATTTTTGATACATTTTCATTATTGAAATATTTACATTTGATACTCTATTTAACCAGTGGGCCAAGAAAGGTGAATACTCATGTGGTATCATTGTCAGATAGGGTAGATTCAAGTTTGTACATATCATGACCCCCTGGATGTAGAGTGGGGCCACACTGAGAGTTCAAACTTTTAGGGAAAAAGGCCACAGTCAAAAATATATAAACATCCTTATTTAGTGTACGTTCAATTTTGTCAAATCATACCCCTCCCTTTTAGGGGTATGTCAGGACCATTTATGCATTTAAGTTTTTCAATACTAATCTGATTTTTGCTTTTTTCTTAGCCACATTGCATAGGTGAACCAGTTGGTCCCTGAGCCTCTTGTAAATCTGTATATTATATATATATATATATATATTTTCCAAAAATTTTGAAGGTATGCATTTTCTAATTTTTTAACGAATATTTTGCAATTAAGAGATTTTTAAAAAATTTTAGCGGAAAAACGCCAAAATAAGCCAAAATTAGAAAGTAATTTGCACATTTAAAGTAATTTGCACATTTTATTTAAGTTGTCTGGTAATGATGTGTTATTGAATGGATATTAAATAGTGATTTATTCTGGTGTTCTTTTGGACTTGAATGACAAACATATAATGGAAGGCATGTTGGAAAAGTTGGAGCTCTGTCATATACATGTGATAATTGTAGACCCAAATATTGTTCACCAACATTGGAAATACATGTTCAAAATATGGGAGCTACTATATGGCCTATATACTGTATGTGTACTTAAAATAGTGGGCTTCATATTTGTGTCTGTAAATATGTAAACTGTATACACATGACTTTTAATGAGTTACACAGTACATTCACATACATGTACTTGACCTTGAGAGGGAATTCACACTCAAATCTAGTATTAAAAAAAATTTGAATGCAAGTAGATTTCCAAACAAGATGTGTTTGTGAAACACTGATGCCCTGGTATGGCAACATAGTGAAAATTAAGCTTCTCTTAAATGCAAATTTAATATATTGTTACCCAAAGTAGGGTCCCCTAACTGGAAATACAATTGTGAAACATGAAAACCCTATCAACATCTGTTCCCAAGTTATGATCAGGCAAAAAAAATTTCATAAGTACATAAATCTTCAAGATCAAGGTCAGAAGCTCAAGGTTATTGGTATTGAATGAAAGGTCTTGTTACAAAAATTACATATGGGAAGTATAAAAGCCCTAGCCCTTACTCTTCAAAAGTTATTGCCAAGGTTAATGTTTTTTCATAAGTCCTGGAATGTCAAGGTCAAAAGGTCAAGGTTTTGGTATCCAATAAAAGGACTTGCCACAGAAAATATATATGTGAAGTATAGAATCCCTAGCCCTATTACCATTTATAAGTTATTGCTAAGGTTCAAGTTTTTTCACAAGTCAGGAAATCTCCAAGGTCAAAAGGTCAAAGTTATTGGTATCCAATAAATGATCCTGCCACAAAGTACACATGTGAAGTATTGAAGCTCTAGCCCTAACCGTTTTAAAATTTTGGTTACATTTTTTTAAAAAGTAAGTCAAACTCTGAGGTCAAGGTCAAAGGTCTAGGTATCAAATGATAGGTCTTGTCACAAGGATTAAAAAACTAAAGTATGAAAGCAAAAGCTCGTACCATTTAATATATTTTGTCAAGGTTTGTTTTTTTAAAGCAGGTCAAACTCCAAGGTCAAAGTCAAAGCTCTTGGTATCCAATGAAGGGTCTTCTCATAAAGATTACATGTGTGAAGTATGAAAGCTCTACCCCTTGCAATTCAAAAGTTATTTCCAATGTTAAAGTTTTTTACGAAGTTTTGGGGGTATATAGTATTTGTCGTGTCCGTCTGTCTGTTTGTCCGCAAAAACTTTAACCTTGCCCATAACTTTGATTTGGTAGAGCCATAACTTTCATATTTCACGTGTATTTCTTGTGACAAGACCTTTCTTTGGGTACCACCAAATGTGACCTTTTGACCTTGGAGTTTGACCCACTTTTACATGAAAATTTTTAACTTTTACTTTGGCCATATTTTTTTAACAGTAGATACCAGGACATTTATACTTCAAATATGTATTTTTTGTCAAAAAACCTTTCATTGGATACCTGGAAACTTGACCCTTTGACTTTGTATATTTCCGTACCTGTGAAAAAAAAACTTTAGCCTTGGCTATAACTTTTGAATGGTAAGGGACAGGGCTTTCATACCTCATATATGTACTCCTTGTGAGAAGATCTTTCATTGGATACCAAGCATTTTGACCCTTTGACTTTAACCTTTAAGTTTGACCTACTTTAAAAAAGCAATCCTTGACCATAACTTTTAAAGGGTTAGGGCTGGTGCTTCCATACTTTACACATTTAATCCTTGTGACAAGACCTTTCATTTGAAAACAAGAACTTTGACCTTGACCTTAAAGTTTGACCTACTTTCAAAAATTTTCAACCTTGGCTATAACTTCTGAATGGTTAGAGCTAGGGCTTCCATACTCTACATAAGTATCCTATGTGGCAAGACCTTTCATTTGATATCAATTACCTTGACCTTTTGACCTTGGAGATATTTGTACTTATTGAAAGTACTTTTACATTGGACTACTTTCAAATTTCACAATTGTTTTCCAGTGAGAATACCTTACTTTTGGTACCAATTAATTCAATTTGCATTTGAGAAAAGTTTAATCTTTGCGTTGTTTTTTTAGTAAGTAAATCTCCAAGGTCAAAAGGTCAAATTTGGTGGTTTCCAACGAAAGATCTTAATACAAAGAATACATATGTGAAATATGAAAGTCATAGCTCCACTAATAAAATCAAAAGGTATGGGCAAGGTTAAAGCTTTTGCAGATAAACAGACAGACAGATGGACATGACAAAAACTATACAGCAAAACTCGGTTATAACGAAGTCACAGGGACCTATGAAATTACTTCGCTATATCCGTAATTCGTTATAACCATACAAGAAATTCATTAAATTTATATAGCTGGGGATCCAAGATGACTCCGCTTTATCCGTAAATTCGCAATATCCGTGTTCGTACTAAGCGTGTTTTGCTGTATACCCTCCAAACTTCATTTATGGGGGCATAAAAGTATAAGCACAAAACAAGACTAAGTAATTAATTTATTATATTGTTTCTGGCATTAATTTTTTTTAATTCACACAAGAGAGAAATGAAATATCTCTAAATTCCAGTCTTATCAGTGTCCTGTTTGTGTGGGATTTTTACCTGCCATTACATATGTACATATTCTGCATTGTTAATCTTGAAATGCCTAAAAAATGGACTATGCTCTCTCAAATAAGATAAACCGTCAAGTCAAAAGCTTATAGGCTCAGTGTTGCAGAACTAATAGTACAGAATTAAGTGATAGCAAAAGGTCTAACAGTCTATAAATCCATCTGAATATAATCAATTCTTTCTCCCTCTTCAGATCCTTTTCTCTCCAACAAACTTTTTTTTCAAAGTGGGTTATGACATCATTCATAGGAAGAACTGAAATATAAAAAATCATTATACCACCAGATTCATGATGAATTAAATAACACATAACTAGAGGCCCATGGGCCACAATGCTCACCTAGGTCAATTGGTTCTAGTGTTCCACAGAATTTTAAAAAAATTTCCTTTTTTCAATGAAAAATGACCCAATATTGTGGCTTCACCTTAGCATAAACATTTGTAATGAGGTTTACTTAATCTTAATCTTAATAACATGTCCTACTGTCCTTCCATCACACTAACTTCATATGCTTACATGATATTTTAACAATAGAGTTTACTTATTTTAAAAAGACCTTTCATATATATGAGTTGTACACCATCCTGGAAAACTTTGAACTTCATATGCTGATACATATATTTTATTAATAAGAGTTTCTTATTTCTGACCTTGACATTAATTTTTGTTAAATTATGTAAAGTTCGGTTTCAAGAGTTGTTTCAGATATTTTTATCGAACCTTATATATATGCAGATAGTGCCAGATACATACTGATGGAATCTATTCAATTTCATAATCATTATTTTATTTGACCTTTCTTTTGACCTTGACCTTTCTTTAAATTAGTGAGTAAAGCTTAGTTTTAAAGAAACTATTCAAGAGACTTTGATTAATCTTCATATGCTTAAACTATAAACATTGATAAGAACTATTAAATTGCATGAACATTCATCATGATATTTTAATAAAAATTTATATGCTAAACATTTTGAATAGCATTTACAAACTGAAACAAAAAATCTGCCCCTGTGTTAAATAATTAAATCTTTCTAATCATTTCTGTCCTCTTTACCTTTGTCATCCACCATTTTTTGATGGAAAATCTTCTTTCTTTACAACACAGTTTTCTTTCTTTAAAATCTGCACCCCTATAAAAGTCAAGACTCTTTGTTGCTCCTGAAATTAATTGTGCAAATAATTCTTTAAAAACTAGAGCATAATTTGTATTTCTCATGGTGACAGATGACTGAGTAAAAAATGTAGAAATTCTCAAATTTAGAATCTATTATCTATATAACTCTTAAAAGCTGTGAATTTAAAATAAAAAACACCCAGAGGCATTAGATCCGCTCGCATACTTGCTACACTAATATCCAGTAACAACATCTCACAGAGGGTCAAGTCAGAGGTCAGATTCTATCATCCAATCAAATTGTCGCCTGCAAAATCATTGAATATTTGTTGAAAGGAATAAGTCTACAGTTGTTACGAATTTGACCTTAGATGTGACCCTCTATGTGATATTGTTAGATGTTAGAGTAGCAAGTATGTGAGCAGATCTAACATTTAACTTTAATTAGATTGACCCAGAGGTGAACATACTTACTGTAAAATCACATATTTTCGTGTGTTCAAACTTTCATGGTTTGAGAAAAAAATTTGGATCCTGGGAATTTGATTTTGTGTCTGAAGAATTGTTGAGTAGTTTTATATGTAACACTGTACATTTCGTGGTGGACATGAATTTGTGGGTCTCTCCACACCTCGAAAACAACGAAAATTAAACCCCCACGAAAATTTGTGACTTTACAGTAAATATGCAATGTTCATATCCCTTTTAAATAAATGGAAAAGGTTGTCCTTTACCTGGAACTTTTTTTACCATCCCACAGCAGCTCCTTTCTTCAACTTGTGCATAATCTGCAACATAACAGTTATTTCATAAAAATTGTTTTCATCCAATCATAGATAAAATCAGCCAATCAAGACAATTTATCAATAGTCAGACTTTTAACTTAGGCCTAAAATAAAATATTGTTTGTTTGCAGTTGCCGACCGACCCACTGAAAATGCACCCGACCCAAACTTTTTTTTAGCCATTTTGAAATATTTTTTTTTCTCCAATTTTTCAGGATATTAAAACTGTTTCATTTTCAATTTTAATCTTCATCAATCTGACATTATACCAAGAGTGCAGCTTATTCATGTATAGTAGGCCTGTGAAAAACTCTATTTTATGTTATCTAACAAAAATCTGGAAACAATTTTTTTTTTCAAAAAAAAAATATTGCCTACCTACCTACCCAGACTAAAAATTATAGTTCGGCAACTGCAAACAAAAATTTTTTAAGCTTGGCCTTAATGTTTTTTGTTTGTTTTTATGTTGTTTAATGTCCCTCTCAAGAATTTTTCATTCATATGGAGACGCCACCATTTGCTGGTGGAGAGCTTTAAATTTATTCTATACTCAGCAATTACGGCCATTGAGCAGCAAGGGACCTTTTTTTGAGCCAGCAATTACTGCGACACAGGACCTCGGTTTATACCATTTCATCTGAATATAGTAGTTTCATCTGAATGTAGTAGTCCTGGAAGTGCTAGCCACGGATTGCCCTGCTACCTCTGATCACATGGTATATGTCACGCACCTGCTGTGACGTGTACCTATCATCGCACACTTTTTCTGTTACCGGGTGCAGAGTACAGACAAATCTTTTCAGCTCCATCAATATTGTGCATTCATTACTATATAGTAAATTGCATATGAAGGACTGGTCTCCATGTCCAACAGTGGGATTCGAAGTTGGAACCCACAACATAAGGATCAACTCTTAACTTTGCAACTGTAGAGCAAACAGTCTTATATGGGCAACTCAACTGACCCAAGTCGCAATGTAAATAACAATAGATCTCAATATGAATAACTTACTTCAGAGAAAATTCAAGTTAAAACTGTAAAGTACAAGCTATTAATAAACTTTAAAAAATATATGTTAGTAAATATATACACTATATCATTCAACTTAACGCCACTTTATCTAGATTTGGAACATAAATTCACAATGCAATGGCATGCATTGATGCAATCTCTCCTATACAAAAGTACAGAGGTAATTCGAACTAGTTCTTCCGAAGCTGTCGTTTAATAACAGCATACTGACAGCTGATTTCTGAGACATTTCCTTTATCGAATGAATGGAATTCATTTCCTTGTACATTAATATAACAAAATCATCTTTACTTACCGGCAAACCGCCTGCCTTTTCAGTTTCACTGGCGCCGTCCTCGGCACTGTTGATACTAGGGAAGCACATGGCCTTAAACCACGTGATTGTCTTCGGCAGACAAACGTTTACTTTTTCAAGCGTCCAAATAATGATAATCTTTCCCAAAGAAAATCTGACAAGATTATAATTGTTCAGTACATCAAAATCACAGAAACGTTTGATTTCAAGCGTCTAAATAATAATAATGTTGCAACTTTTTTGGTCGCGATTATTATTGTTGGAGTAAGACAGATTATAATTGTATGATCGATGTGGAATAAAATTGGCATGAAATTGAAGCGAAATAAAAATAATGTGTTCGCTTGGGCAAACATGATTATAATTGTTAAAAGTAAGAATAATTATTATAATTTTGAGGTGAAATAAAAATAATGTTTTTAAACATCGACTGACAAGATTATAATCATGAGGCGAAAAATTATAATAATGTGTCCACATTTACTGGCAAGATTATTATTGTAAAGTTTGGATCATTATAATTGTAGGACAAAATAATAATAATGTGTACACATCGACTGACAAGATTATAATCATGAGGCGAACAATTATAATAATGTGTCTACATATTGACTGGCAAGATTATTGTTGTAAAGTGAATCATTATAATTGTAGGACACAATAATAATAATGTGTACACATTTAACAGACAAGATTATAATTGTTGCAGGGAAATAATAATAATGTTGTAAAAAGCAAGTTTGGATGACATAATTATTTTTGGTATAATTATATACGAAAAAATAATAATAATGAGGGGGTACCCTACGGCTTTCCATACCAGTCAATATGTAGACACATTATTATAATTTTTCGCCTGATGATTATAATCTTGTCAGTCGATGTGTACACATTATAATTATTTTGTCCTACAATTATAATGATCCAAACTTTACAATAATAATCTTGCCAGTCAATGTGGACACATTATTATAATTTTTCGCCTCATGATTATAATCTTGTCAGTCGATGTTTTAAAACATTATTTTTTATTTCACCTCAAAATTATAATAATTATTCTGACTTTTAACAATTATAATCTTGTTTGCCCACATTATTTTTATTTCGCTTCAATTTCATAACAATTTTATTCCACATCGATCATACAATTATAATCTGTCTTACTCCAACAATAATAATCACGACCAAAAAAGTTGCAACATTATTATTATTTAGACGCTTGAAATCAAACGTTTGTATGATTTTGATATACACATTATAATCTTGATTAATTTTTGGGAAAGATTATTATTTTCTCGCTTGAAAAAGTAATCGTTTGTCTGCCGAAGTCAATCACATGTTTAAATGTGTGCACATTATTATTACTCTCCGAAAAAATATATATTGATAATAATCTTGCCAGTCAATGTGGACACATTATTATAATTTTTCGCCTCATTGAATAATCTTGTCAAAAAAACATTATTTTTATTTCGCACAAAAAATTATAATAATTATTCTTCCTTTTAACAATTAAAAAATTAAGATTTCAAAAAATTCCTCTCTCCTCTATCAAGTACTTCGTATTGACATAACAAGTATATTGGACTGAATTATCTTTGAAACAAAATGGCAGTATAAATAAGCGAAATGTTCGATGATTGCAATATAATCAGGAGGACCAAAAACAATTTGAGGATTTTTTTGTTATAAAGAGTCAAAGAATATGAGGAACACACGGTTAGTAATATTTTGAGTAACAGTTTTAAAAACTTAGAGAAATAAATCTTGACTTCAAATTTTTTGTGCGCAAAAATATACAGTTTTTTTGGACGCTTGAAAAAATATATATTTTTGTCTGCCGAGAGACAATCACGTGGTTTAAGGCCATGTGCTTCCCTATGAACAGTGCCGAGTGCGCGGCCAGTGAAAGGCAGGCGGTTTGCCGGTAAGTAAAGATGATTTTGTTATATTGATGTACAGATAAGTAAATTCCATTCATTCGATAAAGGAAATGTCTCAGAAATCAGCTGTCAGTATGCTGTTATTGAACGACAGCTTCGGAAGAAACCAGTTCGAATTATCTCTGTACTTTTGTATAGGAGATTGAATGAGATTGCATCAATGCATGCAATTGCATTGTGAATTTATGTTCCATATGTAGATTAAATGGTGTTAAATTAAATGATATATCTTTCCGAACAGTATACTCGTATTTTACAGTTTAGCTTGAATTTTCTCTGCAGTAAGCCATATACATTGAGTCTTACTGTTTGTCTTGATTTTCTGATTTTATGAAGTTATCTATTATTGCCATATAAATTTAATAACAGCAAACACCTATGTTTGTTTGTTGTTTAACACAGGCTTTTTCACTCATGGAGACCACCAATTATTAGTGGAGAGCAATCTAATTAAAATTGCCCAAACTTCAAAAACCTATTTCGTGTTGGGTGGGTGGGTAGCGGTGGGGGTGGGGGGTAGTTCATGACTTCTAATGCTCTAATGCTTCAAACCTTTGACTTTTCATACCAATTTAACACAAATTCGCATTTACCAGGGAGTTCTGCGTTTTGCTAGGGGGGTCCTGGGTAACTCTTTTCTTGCTTTAGTATATAAATTTGATAACCTTGCAAATTCCTTGAGGGGATTTTCCCTCCTCCCTCTAGATCCATGCATGGTTTAATGACCCTGTCGAGACTTTTTCACTCATTTGGAGACACCACCACTTATCAGTGGAGAGCTGCAAGTTTTAACTAATACTGAGGGCCATTGAACAGTGAGGGATCTTTTTCATGCCAGCACCTACTGTGACACGGGACCTTGATTTATAAGGTTTCATCCAAAAGACCTGACACCACGTCCCACAGTGGGATTCAAACCCAAAACCTAAGGATCAACTCCTTTCTCTTCAACTCTATGAGCAAACACTCTGACTACTGCTCCACATGGGCGACCCTATGTTTGTTATCTGACAAGAGCGATGTTACTGTTAAATTTTACAATTTACTGGGTGTATTCAATTAACTACCAATAAACTGCACAATTAATCACTAAACACAATCAGGAATCACTCGTGTGTTGGATTTGTATTAAGCTCACGTGCTCAATGATTAAAAAAAAACAACTTTTTTTTTCAATTCACGGCCATTAAAAGAGTCAATTGACAAATTTTAGATATGAAACATGTCAGAATTTCTGAAATTCTACATTTTTTTTGTTCAATCATCAGTCACCATGAGAAATAGAAAATATGCTGTAGCTTTTTTAAAGACTTATTTGCACATGTACATTTTATTTTAGGAGCAGCAAAGAGTCTTGATTTTTAGAGGCATGCAGGTTTTAAAGAAAAAAAACAGTATTGTAAAGAAAGAAAAAGATTTTCAACTCAAAGAATTCCAGATGACACAGAGGTAAAAAGAACAATAATGGTTAGAAAAAATTAAAAAATTGTATATATTTATTACAGTGGCAGATTTATCCAGGGGGAAAGGGGGTTATGAAGAAAATGTAACAGGTACTTGGAAAGTTTTACATTGAGATTTATATTTTTATTTAATTTATTCTGCAGAAATATATTGGTATGTTTAGAACAGAGAGTCATCTACTTTATAAATAATTATTTACAATTTAGCTTACCTGAGTCTAATGCCCTGTTCACATGGAGAGTTTAATTCCAATTAAACCTAAGTTACTGCAAATTAAATTTGAACAGCATTCACATGGAGAATTTAATTCGAATAAGTTTAATTTGAATTAATTTACTTTGCATTAAATTACTTCGCATTAGCTTCATGTGAACGCTAATCAAAGCTAATTCGAATTAAATTTTGACACATGCATAAGGCCTGAAATACGCACAGGCCGCATGTCAATAGTTAGATTTAGGTATTACAGTGAATTAAACTCTCCTTGTGAACAGGGCATAAGGCTCAAGTAAACTTTTAGGGTTAGGATGGGGACACCCATACCAAAATAAAGTACAAATTAAGTACCAAAAAAGTACAAAAAAAGGTCAAATAAAGTATACTTTTTTCGACTAAATTTGGAACAAGGGATTTGGTCGTTCCAAATTGAGTCAAAAAAAGTATACTTTTTTGGTGCTTTATGAGAAAAAGGATAACAAAAGTATACTTTTGGTACATTTCTATATTTGACTAAAAAACATAAAAAGTACAATTGGAAGTACAAAAAAGGTACATTCTTAAAACTATTAAACATACAAAAATACAAAAAAAGTATACTTTTAGACAAGCATATAGATATCTGTGAAGTACAAAAAAAGTATACTTCTAGAAAAAGTACAAAAAAAGTATACTCCTAGAAAAAGTACAAAAAAAGTACATGTATACTTCTGGAAAAGTACAAAAATGTATGATAAAAAGGTTAAAAAAGTACAAAAAAAAGTATACTCCTAGAAAAAGTACAAAAAAAGTATACTTCTAGAAAAAGTACAAAAAAAGTATACTTCTGGAAAAGTACAAAAATGTATGATAAAAAGGTGTAAAAAAAAAGTACAAAAAAAGTATACTTCAAGAAAAAAGTACAAAAATGTATGCAAAAAGGTACGAAAATGTTTAAAAATAGTACTTCTTTTAGATTGGTGGGTTTAAAAAGTACAGTAAAATGTCAAAATGAAAGCATGGAAAAAGTATACTTTTAAGTTGGTACAAAAAAAGTAGGAAAAAAGCACCCACCCTAAATAAGCAAAAAGACCCCCTCCCCCTTAGTGCCTTACCATTTATTTTGCGGGAACAAAGAAACCAGAAAAATGACCATTAAGTTCTGATATACCAAAAATTAAATCTTAACTTACAGAATTGTAATTCAAAATCATGAAATTTTGACAATGTGATATATCTTCATTACATCATTCATTATTTTCAGTCCTATTATCCTATAAATCTTCCATAAATAATTTAGAGACTAAATTGGAATATAAAATCATCAACTGGATTATACATATAATTTTGTAGAATAATAGTTTGTTACTTTCACGTCTAGTCACTACATGGTAGGTACCGAGAAGTGGGGGTGTTCCCTGCCCCCCGAAATGATTTTGCTTCCAATGGGCTTGCACTGAACAAAGTTATGTCACTGACTGATCACACTCACAGATCGCCTACATTCCTTCAAAGTCTATTCACCCAATCTTTCTCTCTTTGATCTTTATTTGAATATGCTATGTGATTTCACCCTTCAACATGTTTACGCACTTTTCCTTGGGTTGAACCTGCAAAAAAAAAAGAAATTTCAATAATCAAAAATTTTTTTTTAGTTCTAAAATAAACATCACATATCTCAAAAAGCAGAAGTATAATTCTTAAGCTAATAGTAATACATGGCAAACTGACATAGTATCAATTTATTCACGTAAATTCAAACTAACTTGAAAACCAATTAAAACATAAAGCTCTGATGTGGAATTGAACAATTCATATACATTGTACTATTAATGTCTTTTCTCTGCATGAGTATATTAAAGACACACAAACCTCCAGTTTGATCTGTTGATATGATTATTAAAATTTGCATTTTACAAAGTCAGACCAGATTAATTTCAATTTTAATATACTTACTTGTAATAAGACACAGTTATATTGTTGAGGTATTCTCCTATGGTTCTGCATTTTAATGAAGTCACAGCAAAAAAGGCACTTCTGAAAATTATAGAAGAAAAATCAGATAACTTGAAAGATTTAAAACTCTGAAATTAAATTCAAACACTAACATTTATTCATGCATTTTCGTTTAAGTTTCTGAAAAAAAAGTAATAAAGTGAGTTTGAAATCCCTGTCTAAATTCCTTACGTTATATAACTTGCAATTTTATATAAAATAAAAATACTCATGTGCCTCAAAATGTAAGTCGCCACCCCCCACCCCCATCCCACACACACACTTTTTGAAGTTCTTTTCAGTCTGGAAAGATGATCAGTATATCTTGAATGATAACTAAGAAGTTCAACTTTAATCCCCCAGTATTCAATATTTATTTAAATTCTGATACTTAACCCCCCCCCCCCCATCTCAATCTCACCTCACCACCACTACACACACTATATATCCTCCCTTTTAACAAACATCCATTTATTTATTTATTTTACAAACTTTAATCTTACAAAATTCACTAGACTTCATATGTTTTTTTTACCATGCCAAGACGAGGCTATGTAGATAGAATGTTCTATCGTTAAAATGATATTGTCCTACGGACCCGGTTTAACTGTGGTGAGAGCTTGTACCGAGACACAGTTAGATTATTCTAACTAGAGGCTATGCAGCTGTGGCCTAGTGAACGTTTTCAGATACTGACCAGTGCTGATGTATTATCTTATTGCATAAATATTATATTAAAACATTTTAGGAATTAGATATGACAGGAAATTAAATGGTTCATGTTTCACATAACCAAAGAAAAAACATGTTCCATTAAGTTAACTCAAATGTAAATATACATTGTCATACGGATCAAAACAAACCAGAAATCAAAAACACAAATGCCCATATTACGTAAAATCTACATTGAATTTCTTCGTTGAGTACATTTCTATAGTGGTGAAATACATTTCCTACCAACAATATCCAAAATTTAAACATAAATATAGCCTTACCGACTTCAAAATCTCCTTTTTTGGTCTCAGCATTTCAATCACACTAATTTTTAAATCGTCTCAGAAAAAATCCGCGCTTCGTTGTTGACCAATCGTAGACCTCGAAAGAGTCACGTGATTAAAAAAAGAAATGAATAATTACAAAATTAGTTCATCAAAAGATCAGAAATTCTCTTAAAAATGTTTTTAAAATCATGAATTTTATTTTGAAGCCGTTTTTTGTGCATAATTACTCGATATCTAGCTATACCATAATCGTGACAGCCATATATTGTGTAATAATCGTCGTCGCCATTTTGTTTGTTTGTGTTTTGTTTTCAATAAATATTATCGAGTTAAATTTGTAAAGCCACAAGAAATTCAGAATGCCTTGTTAACTGCTTAAATCCTAATCAATTTTGCCGTCTTCAATCTCTATGTCGAAATATCTTTTATACAGCATGGACTTTTGCACATGCTTCTTATAAATCATACGTTTTTGTATACCTGTAAACATGATGAAAGTTCTTTGTGATAAATAAAACGATAGGCATGGTGCATCTTGGAGGCTTTTGTATTTATATTCGTACCTTGCTATTTTCGTTCATTTTTACACTTACGTGACACTTATCAACTATATGTTTATCAACTATATTTCACTCTTATTTAACCTGTATTTCTCATTAATCAGTGTTAATCCATTTTGTTAACCATGATAGCCAAAATTATTACGAGTGATTTCGTTTTCACAGAAACTTCCTGTGAAATGTGCAAGTTTTCACTGCACCGTCTAGACAACAAAGGTCACCGAGTACAAACACCTGTGTCACTTGAAATATAAACATCGTTTGCACAGAGAGAGAAAGAGAGAGAGAGAGCTGTAAAATATAAAGGGAATACTTTGTTCATGTTAATATACATAACTGTCTTTGCAGAAATTTTACCTTTAAATAATTTATTTTCACATAGAGAGAGAGAGGGTATTATTTCTGTTCAGATCTACGATGTAATTTTCACCAGGTTTACTAAATCTTGATGATTATAATGTGCTTAAGACTTAATTCTGTTAAACATAAAATGGACACAGTATGATAGAAATACAGATACATACATTTATAAGACACCCCTCCTTTCCCTGCAACAAATATAGTCATACTCTCATGCTAACACTATAGTTGAATTATGAATGCTCAAATTAGAATAAAACTTTCCTAAATTTTGAAAATACTTTAATAATTATTTTTATATGAAAAAATTGCTTAATGACATAAGATTTGATAAAAATTGATATAAAATTTCAAAATTAATTTTAACACAATGGAAAAAAAACTAAGTTCAAATTAGGTACATAAAAAGTACCTCCTTATTTTTCTAATTTTGCCAAAAAAGTTTAAGTCCCAGAAAAGTACATTTCTAGTACAGTGAAAAAAAACTAAGTCCAAATCAGGTACAAAAAAAGTACATTGGAAAAAAACTAAGTCCTATAAATTACAAAAAAAGTACTGTGGAAAAAAACTAAGTCCAAATAAAGTACAAAAAAAAGTACATCAGCTTTCAGAGGCTCTCTGGCCAAGTACAAAAAAAGTATACTTTTTCTGACCTTTTTTTAAAAAGCACAAATTTAGTACTAAAAAAGTAGCATAAAAGTATACTTTTGGTATGGGCACAATGGAAAATTTTTACACAAGAATACAAAGAAAAGATCATTAGAAATCTTCTAAGGCCATGATTAGTCAAAGAAATAGAAAGCATCATCAGCTGGTGTAGATTTAAGCTTTTTCAAACCATGCCTGCTTCCCCTTAAGATTAGTTTGGGCCCAGTATGAATTATTACTTTTCAATACTGGAAACCAAAGAGCTAAGGTGAGCAATGTGACCCATGGGTCTTTTATTTGACCTTCGTCATTTCTGTGCAAAATATCCTAGTGTGCATTTTGCAGGGTTTTTTTGTAGCCCCATACTTTGCTAATAAAGATGCGAACTATAAAATTGTCAAAAGAAGTTTTAATTAAATATATATTTTTTTAAAAATTCATGCAAGTTACAAAGGATAGTGTGAGAAAATAGGGGGGGGGGGTGATAAAGGGAAAGAACTCTTGCAAATAGACATTTTTTTTATTCATATAAGAATTTAATGCCAGGTCTGTTCACACAAGAAAAACCCTGTTTGTTGTCACATTGGGAGCCCTTCACTTGTCATACTTATCATGGGAATAATTTTCCATTTAACCAAGTTTTACCATCATTACGTGTGTCAACGATAATTATAAAAACTCTTATTGTGTTTTTAATGTTATTTTCAGGGTTCAGGAACCATAAATTCGATGTTGGAGTTTGGACTTCACCCTGATAGACTTTGAGCACATCATATTAAGTTTGAGACCTATGGACGAAATCTTGCAGTTGAAAGATAAGGAAAACACAGCTGTGATAAATATCAGAAATCTCGTTAGAAGAGTGTGACGGTCTGGACAAAAAGTTGCAATGTGAATAATTTGGAAGAAAGAAGAGTCTTGGCAAATTACAGAGAATTCTTGATGAAAGATTGCATGTGTTGTTCTGTTGTTCCATGAAATTTTTCCTTTTAACATCATTTAACACTTCATTTAAAGTGATGCATTTTTGATACATTTTCATTATTGAAATATTTACATTTGATACTCTGTTTAACCAATGGGCCAAGAAAGGTGAATACTCATGTGGAATCATTGTCAGATAGGGTAGATTCAAGTTTGTACAAATCATAACCCCCTAGGTGTAGAGTGGGGCCACACTGAAAGTTCAAACTTATAGGAAAAAAAGTCACAGTCATCCTTATTTAGTGTAGGTTCAATTTTGTCAAATCATACCGCTCCCTTTTAGGGGTAGGTCAAGACCACTTATGCATTTAAGTTTTTCAATAGAAAACTGATTTTTTCTTTTTATTTAGCCACAGTGCTCAGGTAAACCTGTTGGTCCCTGAGCCTCTTGTTAAATCTGTATATATATTTACCAAAATATTGATGCATTTGCTAATTGAATATTTTGCAATTAGATTTTTTTTATTTTTCCTGAAAGTAATTTGCACATATATTTTATTTAAAATTGTCTGGTAATGGTTATTGACTTACCCATTTGGTGACAAGAGGTACATTATTAAATTTTAATTTTTATTCAAAATTGAAAATCAAAACCAAATACAATGTATTGCCACTCAAGACATTGATGGTAGAGATAGAATTCACTAAAATTAAATGGATATTAAATTGTGATGATTTTTTTTCTGGTGTTCTTTTGGACTTGAATGACAAACATGTAATGGAAGGTATGTTGGAAAAGTTGGAGCTCTGTCATATACATGTGATATTTGTAGACCAAATACTGTTCACCAACATTGGAAATACATGCTCAAAATATGGGAGCTACTATATGGCCTATATACTTTATGTGTACTTAAAATAGCGTGCTCCATATTTGTGTGTGATAATCAGTAAACTATATGTATACACGACTTTTAATGAAATATGCAATACCTTCACATACATGTGTGTACTTGACCTTGTATACCTTGACATTTGTATTCAAATTGTTTAAAAGGCATATTTTGATTACCTTCAAACCTACGATCATCAAACTTGGTCAGGCGATGCATCTTGGGACTCTGAAAAATGTCAGCCAAAATGTAGGTCAGGGTGACCTACTTTTGATATTTTATGGCTATATTTAAGTATCTTAGGTATTTATTGGCTTAGAATCATCAAACTTTGTGAGTTGATGCATCTTGGGATTTCGGAGAGTGATGACCAAAAATTAGGTCACAGTGACCTACTTTCGACATTTTATGGCTATATTTAAGTATCTCTGGTACTTATTGGCTTAGAATCATCAAACTTTGTCAGTTGATGCATCTTGGGTTTTCGGATAGTGATGACCAAAAATTAGGTCACAGTGACCTACTATTGACATTTTATGGCTATATTTAAGTATCTCTGGTACTTATTGGCTTAGTGTCATCAAACTTTGTCAGTTGATGCATCTTGGGTTTTCGGAGAATTTCGACCAAAAAGTAGGTCATGGTGACCTACTTTTGAATATCTCAGGTATTTATTGGTTTAGAATTATCAAACTTTGTCAGCAGATGCATCGTGGGACTCTTAAAAATGTCAGCCAAAATGTAGGTCACGATGACCTACTTACGACATTTTATGGCTATATTTAAGTATTCTCCGATACTTATTGGCTTAGAGTCATCGAACTTTGTCAGTTGATGCATCTTGGGTTTTCGGAGAATGTCGACCAAAAAGTAGGTCACAGTGACCTACTTTCGACATTTTATGGCTATATTTAAGTATCTCTAGTACTTAAGTACTTAGAATCATCATACTTTATCAGTTGATGCATCTTGGGTTTTCGGAGAATGTTGACCAAAGAGTAGGTCACAGTGACCTATTTTTGAATATCTCAGGTATTTATTGGCTTAGAATTATCAAACTTAGTCAGCAGATGCATCTTGTCGACTAAAATGTAGGTCAGGATGACCTACTTTCGACATTTTATGGCTATATTTAATTATCTTAGGTATTTATTGGCTTAGAATAATAAAACTATGTCAGTTGATGCATTTTGTGTTTTCCAAGAATGTAGACCAAAAAGTAGTCCTAATTGGCTAAGAATCATCAAACTTTGTCAGGTGATGCAACCTGGATCTTAGGATACTTTGTGTTAGAGGCTTCAAATACAAGTGATAGGTTGTACAATTTATCAGAAGAGCGATTCAAGGCCCTTGGGCCTCTTGTTTTTTGTGGCAAGTCCTTTCATTGGATACCAAAAACCTTGACCTTTTGATGCTAGGGCTGTTTTACTTCACATATGTAATTCTGTAACAAGACCTTTCATTCAATACAAATAACCTTGAGCTTCTGACTTGGAAACCCTCGCCCTAACCATTCATAAGTTATTGCTAAGGTTAAAGTTTTTTCATGAGTCTGGAAATCTCAAACGTCAAAAGGTCAAGGTTACTGGTATCCAATAAATTATCCTGCCACAAAGAATACATATGTGAAGTATGGAAGCTCTAGCCCTAACCATTTAAAAGTTTTGGTTAATTTTTTTTAAAAAGTTGGTCAAATTCTAAGGTCAAAGGTCTTCGTATCAAATGATAAGGATTAAAAATATATATATGAAAGCACTAACTCTA